CCGGGGGGCCCCCCGGGGGGGGCCCCCAGCGTCCCGGGGGCCCCCCAGGGGGGGCCCCCCGGGGGCCCCGCGGGACTCGGGAGGAGCCCAGAGGGGGCCCCTGACAACCCTAGGGTCACTGGGGGGCCCCCAGAGGGGCCCCCAGGGGACCCCTTGGGAGTTGGGGGGCCCCCCGGGGTGCCCCCGGGGGCCTCCGTGGGCAAATGCCCTAGGCCACGGGGGGGCAAGTTTGAGGGCGGGTCTTCCAGAGAAGGATAAGGCCTTTTAAGGAGACTGTCTCCAGGAAGATCAGCTTCGAAAAAGTGATAGGCGCGAGTGCCATGTGCTGCTGCTGCTGCTGCTGCTGCTTCTGCTGCTGCTGCTGCTGCTGCTGAGCGCTCCGCCGCCAACGCGTCCGCCTTTGCGGACGCTGCGGCCGCGCGGGCGATACTTATCGCCGCTTCTTCTTCCTCATTTGCTGCAGCAGCAGCAGCAGCTGCTGCTGCTGCTTCTGCTTCCCCCTCGCTCACTGCTGCTGCTGGCCTCTCTGCTCCTGCTGCTGCTGCTCTAGCAGAGGCTGCGAAAGGGAGGCCCTCCGTCTTCAAGCTGGGGCCCCACTGGGCCCCCTGGGGCCCAGCTGCTGCAGCAGCAAAGACTCTGGAGGGGCCCCGGGGACCCCAAAGAGAGACAATAAAGGCCCCACTGGGGGGCCCCCGGCTGCATGCAGTCAATGGGGCCCTTCGGGGGGCCCCATGGGGGCCCCCAGGCCTTCGTTTTGCTGCTACTGCATCCACCCTACCCACCCTTAGAGGCAGGGGCCCCCTTCTTGTTATGGGGATCGCCAGGGTCGTCAAACTGTGCGGCTGCTGCTGCTGCTGCAGCTGGAGCTGCTGTTGCTGCTGCTGCTTCTGAAGCAGCGGGAGAGGCCCCCGGTGAGAGCTGCTCACCTGCAGCACCGCAGCCTCCGCAGCAAGGGCCCAGAGGCAGCAGCAAGCAGCAGCAGCAAGAAGAAAAGCCAGAAAAGCAGGGGCCCTTGGGGGCCCCCCGAGGTGCTGGGGCCCCCCAGCTGCTGCAGGGCCCCTCAGCTGCATGCAGCAAGGCCCCTGGGGGGCCCCCTTGAGCCTTTTCTGGGGCCTTTCGAGGGGCATTCTGGCCCCAGGCAGCGCGGGGGGCCCCCAACGCCAAGAGGGGCCCCCCAGTACCCTTTTCCCTACGCAGGTTTTAGGCAAGAGACGCAGGGGGGCCCCGAAGCAGCCAGCCAGGGCCCCATCACACCCAGGGGCCCCACAGAAGGAGGGGCCCCCGGGGGCCCCCCGGAGGCTGGGGATGGGGGAAGGCCCAGGGGCCCTAGGCAGCAGCAGACACGCAAGGCAAAAGACCGGTTGTGCTGCTGCTGCTGCCGCTGTTGCTGTTGCTGTTGCTGCCGCTGTTGTTGCTGATGCTGTTGCTGCTGTCGCTGCAGCTGTTTCGGCTGCTGCTGCTGCTGCTGGTGCTCTGGTGTCTGTGCTGCGGCTCCCGTCTACTGCTGCGTCTCTGCTGTCTCTTCCTTTATTTCTTTTTATCTCTTTTGCCAATTTTGTCTTTTTTCGTTTCTTTACTTGTGTGTATTCTCTTGTTTTCCGTTTTCTCTTTTAATCTTCTTGTACCTTTTTCTTCTTCAGACGGAGCAGCAGCAAACGCCGCAGCGGCAGCTCAAGCCCAGTCAAGCCCTAAAAAAGGGTTTAGAGGTGCAGTATTTGTATTTGTGGGGCCCCGGGGGCCCCCTAAACACCACCAGGGTTTAAGGGGGCCCCCAAAGCCCCAGCCCCGGGGGCCCCCCAACACCCCGAGGCCCCCCGTGTGGCTCCCCTGGGGCTGCTGCATGCAGGGCCGCAAACTTTGCCTGAAGCAGCAATTTGGAAGCAGAAACGGCAAAAAAATCAAATTTATGGTTTTCATTTGTCCCGTGCAGCAGCTGCAGCAGCTGCAGCAGCTGCTGCTGTCCCCTCCTGTCCTCAGCAGCAGCTACCTATACCCTGCAGGGGCCCCCTTGCGGGCGCTGCCTGGGGCCCCCAGGGCACTTGGGGTCCCCTGAGCAGACTGGGGCCCCCAGAAGGTTCTGGGGGTTTCCAGGGCACCGAGGGGCTCCCCAAGAGACAGGGGCCCCCCGCAGAAAAGGGGGGGCCCCCTACCCTGACTGCTGGGCTCGGGGGCCCCTGTGCCCTGCGTGCCTGAGGGCCGCAGCAGAGATCGATCGCAGCAGCAGCAGCGGCAGCAGCAGCAGAAGCAGCGGCAGCAGCAGCAGGGGCAGCAGCAGCAGCAGGGCTTTGCTGGCTCCTTTAGCTCCGAAGTGTTTGGTATTTCTTTATTTTTATTATCAGCTTTTCTTCTAAACCCCAGAAGCAAAATGAGGGCCTCGGGGGCCCCTGCTGCTGCTGGGGGCCCCCCTGGGCGAATTCGGAAGGGCCTCACCATAAGAAAACCCCTCATAATGGGGACTTATGCTTTCAAGTTAACTCAAGCCGTAAACCCTAAACCCTAAACCCTAAACCCTAATTCGAGGTCTAAACCCTAGTTTGTGCCCCTGAAGCCGGCGCTAAACCCTCGTAGCTCTCCTAAGATGCAGGGAATGAAAATTACCAGCGAAAACCCTAGCCCTAAACCCTAACTCTGCACCCTCGCCCTAAACCCTTGCCCTAAACCCTAGCTCAAAACCCTAGTCCTAAACCCTCGCCCAAACCCTTGCAGTGGGTCCTTAGCTTTTCCTTTCAGTCCCTGAGGCGCTCTTCTGCTGTCGCATGTTCGTTTATCTGCTGCTGCTGCTGCTGCTACTGCCTTGACTGCTGCTGCTGCTGCTGATCATGCTGCTGCTGCTGCTGCTGCTGCTGCTGCTCTCAGGAAAAAAGGAGACACAACGACATGACCCACAAATGGACTTGTCTCTTGAGGTCTCCAGATGGAGAAGACATTTCGCACTTCATTAAAAAAGTTGTTTTCGAATTGGATCCGTCTTTTGTAAACCCCCGCAGAAGTAGGGTTTAGGGTTTAGGGTTTAGGGTTTAGGGTTTAGGGTTTGGGGTTCTCGCTGCGTCTGGCCGCTGCTGGTTTGCTGCTGGGCTCTGTCCCTCTACGTCTGTCTACCGTCGCTGGCGATAAATACTGCTGCTGCTGCTGCTGCTGCTGCTGCTGCTGCTGCTATTGTTGCCGCTACTGCTGCTGCTGCTGCTATT